CTTTTTTTTCTTCTTCTCCTCCCCAAAGTCCCCCCGCGCCGCTGTACATAGCTGTATATTCTAGCTGTGAGTGCCTCTGGTTGTGCTATGTGGGACGCCGCCTCAGCATGGCCTGATGAGCAGTGCCATGTCCGCGCCCAGGATCCGAACTAGTGAAACCCTGGGCCACCGAAGCAGAAAGTGCAGACTTAAGCACTCAGCCACAGGGCCAGCCTGAGATACATGCATTTTTAAAACAAAGATGACTCTGGCTACAATGCTTAAGGATTGGAGAGAGAAAAAGACTGGAAGAAGCAAGGTCAACAGGAAGCTTACTGTAGTCCAGCACAGAAGGAACGGAGGCCCAGCCTATGGCAACAACGGTAGGAACGGAGAGAAAGGGATGTGTCTTGCTTTTGCTTCAGGCAGCTCCATCAAGAAAAACGCTCTTCAGATTGTACGGGATGAAACACGCATTGGTATCCTGCCCCCAAATGGGCACTTAATAAATTTAATCAATGAATTAATGGAAACCAAAGCTCAACATGGATGAGAAGATTAACGAAAATCCCTAAGTGCTCTAAGTAAACCTTCAACAAGGTATATCCCTCTAGAGGAAATCTCCATGCAGCTGTTGGCAGCTGTTCCGGAACGATGAACAGGAGAGGGTGCCTGGAGACCCAAGACAGAAAAATGTAGTACTGTTGTTCAAGAAAAGAGAAAGGCTGCTGCCAACTACTGCTCAGTGAAGTTAAAAGTAACTTCTACTGTAAAAAGTTAAATGTAACTCTCGACAAGATTCTAGAATCATTCCTGAGAGAAGTTTGTGAACACAGAGAAAATAGTAACCAACATACGCTACCAGAAACAGTATAGTTTCATTAAGGACAAGTAATGGCAGATTAACGCTCTTTTCCTGACAGTTACTGAACAGACAGGGTTTAAAAAATGAAGTACTATATAAAATTACCTGGGGTTTAGAAAGGCGACTGTTAAAGTTCCTTACATTTTCCTTGTGAAAACTTGGAAATATTTTATGTGAATAATGATAAGTTAGCTGGATTTCTAATTGGCCTAACAACTTGAATGGAAGAATTAATGAGTTTTTGTCACCCTTAAGAGAGGCTGTACCAGGGAAAGAGCACTGCTCTTACTCCTACCTAGTCAACATTTTAGTAAGATCTGCATGAAGGTAATGTCAGCATTATCAAACTTAGAGTTCATCAAATCTACGGGCAAATAAATGTCTATTTATTGGATGACCAAATCAGGTTTCTTTCTTTTTTTTTTTCTTTTAAGATTGGCACCTGACCTAACAACTATTGCCAATCTTTGGAGTTTTTTTCCCTGCTTTTTCTCTCCAAATCCCCCCAGTACATAGCTGTATATTTTTTCTAGTTGTGGGTCCTTCTAGTTGTGCATGTGGGATGCCGCCTCAGCATGCCTGACAAGTGGTGCCGTGTCCACGCCCAGGATCCGAACCAGCGAAGCCCTGGGCTGCTGCAGCGGTGCACATGAACTTAACCACTCGACCACGGGGCCGGCCCCCCAAATCAGGTTTCTTAAAAGTCAACAGACTGCAACCAATGTGACAAAATTTAGTACAGGTAAATGTAATGTCCTACAAAAAAAATAATGCTATTAAAGACTCAGAAGAGCATGACTTAACAAACAAGAGGGAGAGCATGGATAAAACAACTCAAGAATTTTGGGTGACTACAACATCAATAATAGGTAACACACATAGCACTTTAATGCCAGGGACCACGCTAAATGCTTTACATAATGGGTTCATTTATTCCTTATCACAACCCTACCAGACAGGTATTATTATAAACTCCATTTTCCAGATGAGAAAACTGAGGCCCAAAAGTGTTTACATAATTTACTCAAGGTCACCCAGCTAATAAACTGTGGGGCCAGGTTTTAAACCCAGGGAAGCTAGCCCCAGAGTTCACCTTTTTAACCAGAACATTATCATGAATTAACAGTGTGATGTGGTTACCCAAGGAGCAAATCTACTCTATCTTAAAGCATATGCGTTAAGAGCAGACAGGTGACTTATGGTCTTCTCTACTAGTTCACATCTAATTTGGGGCACTACACTTTGAAGAAAGGTATGGATGAACTGAAAGAAATCCACAAAGAAGCCATCAGTATTGTAAGGAGGTTCAAATTAAAACAACAAAATCATTAGAAGAGGTTAAAGACTGAGAATATTTTGCATAGAGAAGAAAAGAATCAGTGGAATATAATAAGTATCTTCAAATATTTGAAAACTGACATATAGAAGAGACAGAACTAGAACCAGTGAAGACAACTTCTAGTTCAGTAAAAGAAATAATTTTACAAAAGTTAGTTGTCCAAGTATCTTTCCCTCAGAAACTATGAAACTATGAATCTTCTCTCCAGAAAAATATACAAATGCATAAAATTTTGCATAAAATCTCCAAGAGTTCACGAATCTACTTTTAAATCTCTTCATGCTTCACCCCTGGAGTCATGTATCCCAGATTAAACTGGAAAGGATTCAAGTATGAAGAGGCAAGTATATTTAATAATCCTTAAAATTCATTACAATTTAAAATTCTATGACCTAAAAAAACACTCAACTGTAGGCTTTCTAGTTTCTTCTGAGATCTATTATGATACATACTGCAATAAGAGTTTAAAATACAATGACAAGGTCAGAAAAAAAGTAAAGTTTGCCAAGGGACAATGTAAACTGACTATGAGTAAGTTCATAGATAGTATGGCTTATCATTTAACTTCTAAAAGAAACATACCTAAGTTTAAAAATAAAAAGTAAGATGCTAATGTACTACTCAATACCTAACATTTAATGCCCAAATTAGAAATATCCCCCCTCTGCTTTTAAAACTTCACCTTAAACTCTTCCTCTCCATCCTCGTTCCTGTTAAGATTGACCAAGAAACCATGGACTGGATGTCAGAATACTTAGGTTCTAATTCACTACCTTTGCCATGAATTTAATTTTGGCTCAGGCTGTTTCCTTACTTTGCTAAGAAACTTTTATACATCTAAAAGGACTTTAAAAATGGTGAAGTGCTATGTAAATATAAGTAACTCATGCATTATGTATAAACAAATCATCAACAGCAAGAAAACAAAGCCAGTCTTTCTATCATGTTGAAAAAAAAAAAAGCAAATGCATATTCTCATTTCCATTCCTAATTATAAAAAGCAATCTTTGAGTCCTTTAGGATGTGTTTTAGTGTATAATTTTCATCCATAAATACCTTCCACATTAAGAATAAACATATCTTTACATCCAATTTCCAGTTCTATTGCGAGGACACAGCTCAGACAGTCAAGAATTTTGGCTGCAAGGGAAAAACTTGACCGTGCCAGTTGGACTACACACTTAAAAGAGTTGGGGGTGAAGTTACAAGACCACAAAATGGTAATAAGAATTATTATACACTTGAAAAACTCCATTTTCTCTCTTGATTAGACAACTAGAAATAAAGAGAACTGAAAAGTAAGAGTTTAATAAGTCTTGAACCTTTTTTAACAAATGTAAGTGCCACACTGCTGAAACTGCAGCTGTACTGCCAGAACAGTGCCACAGACACCATGTCTGCCATGAGACTAGACTCTAGTTCCAGGCACAAGATGTTCTAATAAATAACAAATGCATCCAGAGCCAGTACACAAGTGTGACAGAATCCGGGGTCTAGGCATTTGATTTTTCTCCTGGTGCTACTTGAGAATGGACACTGCTATCAAAGATATAGGATAGTGATAAAGCTTTGGCTAAATTATAGGATATCAGTGAAATGGAAAAGGAACATGCAATATCAGAACAACTAAATTATTTTATATTTAATTTTGAACAGAGACAGGGTCATGATTACACTGTATATAAGGCATATGAATAACTTCACTATATTTATTAGGTGAAGATGATTTCAAACCATTAAGAGAAAACAAAAGTGGCCCAGAAAAAGTTAGGCTACAGAAGTGAAATGAAAAAACACAAAACTAAGATTTGGGGGCGAAAGGGGAAGGAAGAGAATGAGCTACTGACTTACTAAAAAGAGAGCAAATAAGTGGGACAGGGAGTCCGAGCCCTCTGAGATAGAACGAGGAAGAGAAAAGTATTCAAAGGGAGCTTCAGCACTGAATATGGAAAGAGATGAGCCTGTTAACCGTTTCAAGAGAAAAAGAGAAACAATACAGGGAACTTTTCTGAACCAGCATTCATAGCAGTCAATAGTGAAAATGCCTAACTCATGCAGGGCACTTAATACGTGGTGAGCTTTGTTCCAAACGCGTTCCACAGATTAGCTCATCTACTCCTTGCAACACCCCGAATCGGTAGATGGAGTTTTACAGACGAAGAAACCGAGACCACACAAAGCAAGGGGACACAAGCTGGTACCAGAGCCGAGCGCTCATCCACTTTGTTGAACTGTCTCTCTGCGAGATCCTGCAAAAACCTTTATACTTTTTACTTTTGTTTTTTTTTTCACTTAGCTCTCTGGAATTTCTCAAAGGAGCCTGGGCCCAGAGTGATCCTCTACTTCAGAGAGAAGTTCCCTTATGGGGAATATGAGGTTCTTACAAGCGCACGAAGCTCTGGAACCCTAAAAGAATCCTGAGGGAGACAGATAGAGGCATGTGGGTCACGAAAGGTGGAAAAGCCAGAAAACCAGACTCAGAAGCCATCCTTCTGCCCTGAAGAGACAGAGAAAGTAGAAAGCAGCCCTTCCTCTCTAACACGAGGCGTGACTCAGGGACGTCACCTCCCCCCCAGTATGCTGTGTGTGTGTGTGTGTGTGTGTGTGTGTGTTGGTCAGGGGGGCTCTCTGGTGTCCGACTCCCTCCAGACACGCACGGGTTAGTCGGCCAGGCCTGGGAGAAGCCGTGGGAATAAACAGATGGGACTGGGGGGACACGGGGGCCCGGAGGCGCAGGGAGGGAAAACTGCCCGGGAACGCGCCGGGCCGGTCCAGAGGCCCCGGCCCGCGGGCCCGTGCCCCCGCCCCGGACCTTACCGCCGCTCGGCTGCAGAGGACGAGGCGGCCGCGCAGGGCTGTGCTTCCGAGCCCGGGGCGCGTCCTCGGCGCCGCCGCTCCCGTGGCGCCCGCGCTCGGCGGCGGCCGGGTCCCGGCGGACTCGCACTCGGGCCAGGGGCGGGAGATCGGCGGCCTGCCCAGTCGAGGCCGTGGAGTTCGCGGCCCCCGGACGCCGAACGGTCCGCACCGCGGGCCTGGCCAGGGAGGAAGGGTCAGGGCGCGCCCGCGTGCCGAGCTGCGGCGGGGCGGCTGCAGCCGAGCGCGCAGCAGCTTCGTCCGCCCTCACCCGGCCCAGCCGCGGCCCCGCTTCCCCCGCGCGAGCTTTGGCGGCGGAGCAGCACGGGCAGCGCCCATTGGCCCTCGGGCCGAGTGTCGTAAGGCGCCGCTCCCCGCGGATTGGCAGGGCCGGCGGTGCGTGCAAGGAGTAAACAAACCCCGCCCCTTCCCGAGGAGAGGAGGGGGCTGAGGTGGAGGGGCGGGGCCTCAGCGCTCTGCCCAGCCCCGGGTGGCCCACCCCGGATGCCTAATGGGTCCCCCGAAGGGACCCCGCCGCCTCGCTCCCCGGACGACCCATCTGCAGGCCTGAGGCCTAAAATTTGTAGGCACGCCCTTCCCCCGCTCCCCCGAGCTTGGGTGGGACTCTTGACTTTCTCATCCGCCCTTATCGCCCAAGGCCGAAGCAGGAAAACCCCACCTCTCTTAGAAAGAGGGAAACTAGGGCGGTTACGTCTCGGTCCCCAGGCCTTTAGAGGGGTCGCCCCCGAGAGCCGCGAGGAGGGGCATGGGGACGATTGACTGTGAGGCCACGTGTGAGGCCAAGTGTGGGACACCCCGTAATTATTCAGATAATTGGTTAGAGACCACTAGGGATGTGGGTTCTTCACTACCTTGGCAAGTGGGATCCAACCAGCCAGGTCACTATGTCACATGGAAACTTGAAGAGAAAATCGCAGTGCCCACACCCCGAAATATCTGTCCATTTAGTTCAATATTAAAACATTTTGTCTATTAATTCTCTGCCTATGTGAAAAATCATGTGCGCTTACATTTTAGTTGGGTGGGAAAAACAATATGAAAAAGAAATAAGCCAAATATAAACTATGTTACGTGCTGATACATGCTACGGGGAAAACCTTAAGCAAAGAAGGTGTTTGAGGGACGGCTTGCCTTAAATAGGGTGCTCGGGGAAGGCGGCATAAAAGGTGCCATTTAAGTAAATACCTAAAGGAAGTGAGAGCACCTTTGGACCTTTCTCTGGAGGGGACTGGAGAGACAATTTCTGCATAGTTGTACATAGGTAAAAGTCCTAGGAGTTCAAGAACGCCAAATACTCCTCGGACTGATTCAAAAACGCAAAAGTGAGTACACTTTCCAGTCATAAATCAATAGTATTTATTTAATTTCCAAGAAATTTTGTTAAAGTTTCAATTTAACAAATGCTTTTCACACACTCTAGGCACAAAGATACAAAAACGAGCAATACAGGGGCCAGCCTGTGGCCAAGTGGTTAAGTTCGCGCGCTCCGCTTGGGCGGCCCTGGATTTCGCCAGTTCCAATCCTGGGCGCGGACATGGCACCAGTCGTAAAGGCAGGCTGAGGCGGCATCCCACATGCCACAACTAGAAGGACCCACGACCAGAATACACAACTATGTACTGGGGGGCTTTGAGGAGAAGAAGGAAAAATAAAAAATTTTTAAAAAATGAGCAATACAGACAAAACCTCCACCCTTAAGGAACTCCATCTAGCAGAGAAGATGGATGGTAAACCACCTCAGTACGACGTGTAAACGACCATAACAGAGGTAGACACAGAGCGCTGGGCTAATGGAGGTCAGAGGGGTGGATGTTACTAAGGAACCGTAACTCACTCGGGATCTCTTTACGAGGAAAACTCAGTACTAAATTTTGGAGTAAGGCTATGGGTATCAGAGATTCTCTAACCTATTTATATGTTTCTAAGGTGAGAATCTGAAGTTAATATTAAGTTGAATTCTACGAAATTGCTAATATTTGGCAATTTTCATATGGCTCAACTTACTCTCTTGTAGAGTTAATATGAGGATTTTGCTATGTAACACACACTGTTGTGTTCAATAAATGATGGCAATTATTATCACTCACGAATATTCACTATTTTTGAAAAAAATGATTTAAAAATCAGTCTTTCGTAACAACTTCCAATACCACGAAGTAAAGTGAGCAGTGAAGTTTCAAATTTTCCATATACTGGTTTGATCTAGCTGTGAATTTCCATGACCTAATCAGGGTTTGCTGTAAAAGACGCTAAATGCTAGTTTCACAGCAGGCCAAGAAATTCAGAAGAAGAAACAGCTTGGTTTTGAAGCCAAAAACTGAAAATTCTCCAGAACAGAATAAATTGTCGAGTTGCTTCAGGGAGGAAAATTCATGTAAATCAATTTTTCATTCCCACTCACAGTTCCAATTTAGCAATTTGCACAACACTCAGCTTTCTCTCTTCCTTCTCATTTCCCCATTAAGGGATCTTGTTTCCTTTGAAAAGGAAAATGAAGCTTCCACCATCTCCAATGCCAGCGAGTAGATGTCTGAAACATGACGGAACACTTACTGATTCAGCAAACCGTTATTAAGCACTTACTGTATGCCAAGAACAGTGCGAGGCATTGGAAGTACAAACATAAATGTTCAAAGAGCTCCGTTCATGGGTATTCCTTGTGCTCGGAGCAATCTCCCGGTTCACCCGCACCTTACCTACATGTGCCTTCTCACCTGAGCTTAGACTTTCTCCAGAAAAGCTTCCTCTGACTCCTCTCCAGCTCTTTTCCCCACAAAATTCTGCTTGTCTTTCTAACATTCATCAAACTTCTGATTAGTCACTTGGTATCTGTACCCCATCAAACTGTAAGCTCCCTGAGATTCAGGCCAGTCATCCTACTCATTACCACATCCTCAGTGCTTAAGAGAAGCTCAGAAAGTTTTTATTGAATGGAGGAGAGCGCCACAACCCCGCACAGTTGGCAAGTGGAGAGAAGCATAAATAAGTCGTCTCATTTGTAAATATACAGGTCAACAAAGAGAGGACCATGACAGAGAGATCTGATACATTCAACCTGAGGAATTTCCATGGGCTGCCCCTCTCCTGGAGCTGGATGCTCTTTCTGTAGGTGGAGCTGTAGGACTCCTGGACCAGCGCCTCTAACTGTAATGTGCACAGGAATCCCTTGGAGATCTTATTAAAATTCACACTCAGTAGGTCTGAGGTGAGGTGTCGAGTTTGCGTTTCCAACAAGCTCCCAATGGGTGCTGCTTCCCCAAACACCACACTTTGAGTGACAAGGTCCTTAGTGAAATCTTTTTATCATACAAAAAGATCTGTAGCTGTCTGGACAACTGCAGATATTTTTCTTAAGTATCCTGTTCTCACAGCCCCTAATCCATCCAGTGACTGACAAAAGAAAAAACTCTTAAGAGAAAAATGTGAGAGCCTTGTCTTCCAGAGACAGTCCTATTATGTACAGTTTAATCACATTAATAGGGTGGAGTAGAATCAAAGACTTGGAGTATCCTCAGTGAGGGACACAACCTTCTCAGTCCATTTCTGGAATGACTTGGTTAGGGCAGTAAAAGGATTTCGCGGGCATCCTTAATAAAAGTAACCTCTTCTTAACATCAAATCTAAAGTCCTTTTTATGATAAAATACTTTATTCATCCTAAAAATATAGAATGTGAGGTGAAAGGAATACACGGCTTATGTGAGGTATAAGGAATAAAAACCAGGAGGAAGAGGTTTGCAGGGAGGAAAGGTTGAACTCCCTTCTGGACCTCTAGAGTCTGATGTGCCTGTGGAGGGACCTCTGGGAGCAGTCCCATGGGCAGGCAGCTCCTTGCATCTGGTGCTCAGGAAGGAGGCCCAGGCACACTGGGGAGTCGGCACCAGTTTCTGTTATGGGCATGGAAGACAAGATCCATTATTTCATCTGTCTCACAGCAACTTTGGCAGAACTGGATCAATCCCATTGCACAGGAGAAGCTCTTATCAATCCCAGGACTGGACTGGATCCACACCTCCTGATCCTAGTGGCAAGAGGTCCAAATCGGGCATCAGAGACATCTGGGCTATATGGGTGGGTGGGCAGACAGGAGAGGAGCTTGGACCAGCCAGCTTCAAAACCAGGTAAAATAAGTTAAATATTCGTAGGGGGATGAGGTCTGGAAGACAGGAGGGAAGCACTGGTTCTGGGACAGGGGAGGGACGGCCTGACCACCACTTCTGTTCACCTCTGTCCACTGCTCTTTCCTTGCCCAGAGATGGACCCCATGACAGCAGCCCTGGAGAACAAACATGAGGCGGTCAGCCGGGGCAGGGGTCCTGACTGCAGGTACTCCTTCCCTTCTGCCTTCCTTGCCCCAGCTGAGCCATCTGCTGCCCTCGACTCCCACCTTGCCCAGAGATCACCAAGGTGAAGCATGTGGACAAGATCCACATGGGGAACTGTGAAATCGATGCCTGCTACTTCTTGCTGTTCCCTGAAGACTGTGGGAAACAGCCCAAGCTCTGGCTCTGCGAGTACCACCTCCAGTACATGAAATACAAGAAGAGGCACTGTTTCCACATGGTGAGGCTGGGCCGCTGAGTGTGGTGAGAGGTGGGGGTTGAGGCTGAAGGCGCCTGAGGCAGCAGCACTAGGGCAGACAGACAGGTCAGGAGGAGTTGAGTACAGGGAAAAGCTGCCCATGGGTCAAGACCTGGATTCCAGGCCTGGCTTTGTCTTTGCTGGAGTGACACTTGCCATCTTGCTGCCCCTCCCTAGACCTGAGTTCCCTTCTGTGGAATGGGGGCAGTAATCCTTGCCCTTAATCCCTCTGGAGTGATGCTGGAGTGCCCTTCTTCTTGGTCCTTCTCATTTAGACTATTACATTCTTTGAACTAAAAATTAAAACCAAACCCCATCTTTTCTTCTAATAACTCAATATTTATCATCTTCAAATTTCCTACTATGGAATACCACCACAGGCTCAGAGGCAGTAATAGGCTCCACTGTGGCCAGGGGATGGAATCTACATTGTCCAACTGAGTCCTCCACCATATGGATGTCACCATATACGTGTGCGAACCTGAAGCAATGAACAGAGGAACACTAAATAAAAACGGCTTTAATATACAATATGTATAGATCAGTTATTCACTGTTTCAGTGTAGTTTCCAAAATAATTTTAAATAATTTTCAGAAGGGATTTTTAACAGCTGCCAGGTTAATTCCATCATATTAGTGTTTGAAATTATCTTTTCTCCAGTTACTTAAAATCTTTCTAAATATTTAAAAATACAGTGTATTTTCACAACAGATTATATCATCTTTTTCCCACCACAAAGAATTAACCTTGTTCTCTAGTGTTCCCTTGTGCAAGAACGTAGAATGTAGCATAATAAGCCGAAACAGGATCTAAAGAGGTAGGGTTATAGAAAACTTTTCTTCTCTAGCCATATTAAGTCCAAATTTACCTTGAGTCACAACTGTAGTTAACATAGCCTTATTTCTCTGTGACCTTATTAATGTGCAGAAACCCACACAGGAAACAGTATTAAATAAGAATTTCCAGGTAAAATGTAAAAACAAATCCAAAAGTTAAAGTAGACAAGAGGCAAGGGAAAAATTCACATACATATGAAAAATATTTCCATTGCAGTGCATCTGAGATTCTACCTATAGATCTTAACAATGGTTTATGAGGTTCTCAATGGCTATTTAATGAAACTATGAAATTTGTAAAGAACATCAGAAAAATAAGATTATGAATTTATTGATGCATATGAATTAGAATTTATATTAACTGTTTTGCACCAGTAGGAAAATATCCAATTAATTTCCCACAAAATCACTCTGAAACATTTACAGAAATCAGCTTATTTTAAATTAAAAAGATTAGAAACATTATGATGGCTATGTACAAAACATATATTTGTAAACTCTACTTTACAATCTAAGTAAAGGCATCTTTGAAACATTTTGGCTATTATACCGTATTAGTACCACACCATATAATCAGTACAGAAGGAATATGAGAACTCTTCTGTTCAGTACATTATAAAATTATGTTCAAATGTTATATACATTTTGCCTAGAAGGATTTGAAAATGCTACTTAATGACTTCTCAAGTCACTGGACTGATTTTTAAAAAGTTTAAAAAAAGATATTCATTTAAAGATATGGCTCATTTAGAAAACAACCCAATTAGCAAATGGGCAAAAGATATGAACAGATATTTCACTGAAGAGGATAAACAGATGGCAAAAAAGCACATGAAAAGATGTTCAACATCATTATTAATCAGGGAAATGCAAATTAAAACCTCAATGAGAAAAACACACACCTATTGCAGCCACTAAATAAAAACTGTGACCACATCAAATGCTGGTGAGGATGTGGAGAAACTGAGCACTCGTCCGTGCTGGTCGGAATGTAAAACGGTGCAGCTACTCTGGAAAGCAGTTTGGCAGTTTCTTGTGAAGATAGGCTCATTTAAATTGGACACCTTGTATCATTTATTTTTTAAATAATATAGATATCTGTACAGACATCTTACAGTCCCACTTTATTTTAATAAAACAAATTTATAGTAAAGGGGGGAAGACAGTAGAAACAGAACAACAAAGAATTTCAGAAACACGATTCTGCAGTTTCCTGCCTCTGTCCATCCTCACTCCTAAACTCATTCCTACATTCCTCCAGGGGCAAGGGGATCTTGGGAATATGGTGAAAATATAGTCACCGACTTGGAATAGACGTTGGTACCAAAATATTTATGGCTTTGAAGCTTCAAAACTTAAAAAACCCATGTGATTCTGGATCACCTCTTTGATTTCTTTGGGGTTACCCATTTTGACTGGTTTAACCCAGATGACCTGGCTTCGGGTGTGCAAGAAGATGATTCTGGGACCAGACAGGTCCAGGTTTGGGGCTTTTAATTCTAATTGAGAAACATGATCTAAATTTCCCAAAGGGATTCAAAATCCTTTGGGGTACATTTGAGCTTTCTAGGCTCTCTCTGGGATGACTCCAGAATCACTTAAAGTTGAAGAACCCCAGGGTCCAGCTATGTCTTTCCTCAAAGAATTACAAAATTCTTGCTAAACTCCTGGACTAGATTATTTTTAATTATAGACTGGTCCCCAGTATAAGTCCCTTGCAGAAGGGGCTACTTCTGAAGCTCCCTCCCTCTAACACCAGAGTGCCTGGCGTTCTTAAGTTCAACCTGTTAGTCATCTGCATCAAATACATAAAACCCGAGACTAGAAAGGCTTCAATTACACCCTAGAAAGTCAATATAACTACGTGTATTCATGGATGTGTATCTCTACACAAATACACAAACATATGAAGAATTTTTAAATAAACAGTATGAAGATTCCAGTTTCCCTAACACAGTAGTCCTTCCTAACTCAACAAAATGTATTTTACTTGCAACAAATATAAGCTGCTCCCTATCAACAAATGTATGCAACATCAAGGATAAAATGTATATGCAAAAAAAGTTGCCCTTATACAGTAACAATTCATCCCACAAATACGAAGGCACAGAGTTGAGTTCTGTGGAAGGAGACAGGGTTCCTGCCTTCAGAGACCCTCTAGTTGGGTGGAGGCTTGGCAGATAAGAGAGGGTGGTCATCTCCTTTGCTCAGAGGTGAAAAGGAAGCAACGAAACAGATCAAATCAAAGTTGATCTACAGAATACATTAATCCTATACTGCAGTCAGGAACCCACTCATTTCTTCATCCACAGAGGATGCAGGGGTGGGGATGGGGGCTGGTGATTAAAAACAGCAGAAGAGGGCCTGGCCCCATGGCCGAGTAGTTAAGTTTGCACGCTCACTTCAGCGGCCCAGGGTTTCGCCAGTTCAGATGCTGGGCACGGACCTAGCACTGCTCATCAAGCCGTCCCACATAGCAGAGCCAGAAGGACCTACAACTAGAATATATAACTATGTACTGGGCGGCTTTGGGGAAAGGAAGAAGAAGAAAAAAGAAGATTGGCAACGGGTGTTAGCTCAGGTGCCAGTCTTTAAAAAAAAAAAGAAAAGAGCAGAAGACAGTTACAACATGAGATTTTTTTAACCTCATTAGCCAGCAAAGCAGAAACCCTTTTTAAGATTCCACAACCTCTTTTTGCTAACAATCATTTCCTAAAGTAAAAATGAGGCAGAGAGTAAAGGAGTACGAGAGATGCTCCACATTCACTGAGTCTTCAATTTTCGTCTAACAGTTTGCATGTATCAGCGCTTCTCCACTGGGGGCGATCTTGCCTCCCAGGGGACATTTGGCAAGGTTTAGAGATATTTTTGACCATCACAACTAGGGGGATGCCACTGGGAGCTGGTGAGTAGAGGTCAGGGATGCTGCTAAACATCCTATAAAGCACAGCACAGCACCCTAAAAGGATTACCTGTCCCAAAATGTCAATAATACTCTGGTTGAGAAACCATGTCATGGTTGGATATAAAAAATTTAAAAATCAGTAAAGTCCACAGCAATTAGTTACAGTAATTAGCAATTAGTACCACTTCAAGGAGGATTGTACAGGAACGTTCTCCTCCTTGGTAAGATAGCTACAGACCTCTAAAACTATCTGATAGATCCATAATGGGAAAATACATTAGCATAGAAATTTTTTTAAACTTCAAATATTAGCATACAAATGAAAAGTGAATTTGAAAGATGGAAGGACATTTGGTTTTGCTCAATTGATTTTGAGCATCAACTGTTTCTACAACCACAAAAGCAAACATGGCCACATTTCTGATTTACGTCAAACCTGACAAAAGATTTACTAAATCGTGTCACTAAAAACAGCCAGAAATATTAAAAATAAAGATTAACCTCTAGACTAACAAAAGAAAAAAAAATTAGCCCCTAATTTTTGAGGAGATGCTCAATTCCAAGAGAGATATCCAAAGTTATTTTCCCATAGTATCTAAAAGATATTTTTCTTTATTTTGTGGTTTTATGATTAGAAAGAACAACATAGAAAAGAGATGAGCTAACAAACTTTTAGGTATTAATAATATTACACTTCAGTGTATCTTAATACAAAAAGAATTATTTCCTATGAAATCATACCTGCTGAGAAGCAGGATCTATAAGAAATAGTAAAACAAGATAGCAGCTTTCATGATTTTGATAAAAAAACAAACTGGCCACTAAGCTTTGTAAAAAGGATGTAAAAAACAAAAAATGAAAAGGAGGAGATATCTACATAATAGGATCTGACTTGTTAGAGTAAACCAAACACCTCCAGTTAACAAAAATATTTCCAAATCTTAATTAATAGAGTTAATACTATATATTTGCTATAGTGACTCCCTCAAAACATTTTAATAATTTGAGAAAACAAAGCTCACCAAGATGGAATTTGCAGAAATGCAACTTGAGCCCCAGTGCTATCATCTCTGTCTCTGAAGTGGACATATACGACAGCAACAACATTCTCTGTAACAGTCACTTCTTTACTGTGTTATCATTTAACAGCTAGCTCTACAATAGTAGGATGTTATGTGATAAAGCTGACCAAGAGGGAAATAAATTCATTATTGCTGCAAATCAAAAGGAACCTAGCCCAAATGGAGGGATGGGCAAATAACAGGAGAGCAGGCTGGAAGGTGGTCGACTGCGTTAGGACAATTTTACACCTGGCCTGAAGCTGCTCACAACTCTTACTCCTATTCATGTTTCTATCAGGAAAGTCTGAGGACGCAGAACTGTCCCCGCTCCTCTCTGGGCATGTCTGGCTCAGCAGCCAAAGGACAGCCACTAACATGAGTGACTCCCACCACCTCTGTCAGCTACCCACTGCACGTATCTCAGAGTGGAGCAGACTGGACAAAAACAAAAAGATACCTGGACAAGTGAAATACCCCAATGAAGGCAATTCTTAAGTCACCAATAAACTAGGGTACTTTCTTCAAATAAAGCTCTGTCAGTTAGGCACCTAATAGAAACAAACACATTTATGCAAGCATCTTGCCAACTGAGAACGAAAAACAACAGGAGAGGAAAGGCAAGAATTATACTTACTACCTGCATTTAGTAAAAAATGGGATGTTATGCTTTAGCAGAAGTTTTTGAAAGAAACTCTATTTGAGAAGGAAAAATATAGTCTCTTCTTGTTCCTTATGGATGAATACCCTTTTTAGTTTCATTAACCAGAATTACTTTTTCAATGTTTTTCGATACATAAAGAATGCTCAGATTTCAGCTAAACAAGGAACAATTAAGGCAGTGTCTTTAAGCCCAAAAAAGGAAAGACTTGACTAAGAAATAAGCCTGAGAAGGACATATTGAGTGCATATTTAGATATAACATTGAACAATTATGGCTTTAAATATAAAATATTCATGTTTCAAAATTCCACATTTCCTCAGTTATTCTTTCTTTTTAGCTGTATGGCTTTGAGTAGCCCACTTAATTTTAAAGAATTAAAGGAATACTTTTCACATAATTTTGGAGCAAAATGTGCATGGTGCTTGACCCAGAACTATTAACTCAAAGAGAGTAAACAATTATCCTCATATGTACCACTGACCCAGTAAAAAAGAAGGACCCATAACTGTCAAAATATGGTTCGAAATGGTTAATGTCCTTTGGAATTTGCTACAAAACAGAAGATAAAAAGTTTTGAGGTATTGTTGCCTTACAATCTCACCAAGGTTTGGATTTTTTTAAATGAGGGTTTTTTCGTTTTGTTTTGTTTCAAAAAAGCAATGCTTTTTCTCTCAGGTTGCAAAACTCATTTTAAACCTTCTCTGCTCAGTCATCATTGTATTGGTTATCCCTGAGCTTTGCCCCATCTGCGTGTCACAACAACCAGCCATCCACAGTTTTATTCTTTCCGCATACTGCTATGTCTTGTTATACCAATTCATGGAGCGTTTCACGGCCTTGACCCAGTTTTCCATACTCATTTCATATTCTTGCCATTTCTTCTGCGGCTTGAAAACCATTTCACTCTGCCTCAGTTGCTTTAGTTCCTCCTTGTCAGTCCAAAACCCTATAGGTGAAAAAATTATTCTCAAATTTTAAGGCAAACAACGAGTCCATAAAGTTTATCCACAAACCTATGTGAATTGGTGCAAAGTTATTATTTTAAAAGACAATCCAAAATATTTTGTTGCTGTTTATTTTTGTTAGACTGACTATCCCTGAGAACAAATACACCAGGATTTTAAAATCTTCTGGTTTCTAACTGTCAGCTGTACCCCTGTGTGGCAGGGCATGAATCATTTCTAGAGCAACCACACCCTGTGGTTTTATTTAATTTCATGACTTGCTACTAAGAAAAAAAAAGTGAGAAATAGTATATTTTATTTTTGTACAACTAAAAAAGCCAAAGATAAATTAAGATTTTTGTCATATATCTTGAGGAAGAAGGCAACTCCCTGGGATATACATAAAATTCAAAGTTGAGAATTAATATAATACTTTCTTTTTCAAGTTGCTGCATTTCACGCAAGTTAATTTAAATTCTAGTTCAAGATAATATTGTAGTTCTGGCATATACTGTTCTTTACAAAGAGGATCATGTGCTTTATAATAAAAAGCAGCAAGAAAACACATTCATAACTGTGATCATAAGTAGTCTGAAACGGTCGAGGTGTCTTGTTAACACACTTGATACCTCTCGCCTACTCTGAAGTACTGAGAGCACTGATAAGCCTGCACGAAGCATATTGTCTCTCACCAATAAAGGTGACATATAAAATTCTTTCTTCTAAAATTTTCTGTCAGGTCACATTCTTTCTATTTACAAAGTCAGCATTTAGACTATCTATATTTAAAGATATTAATTAATTTATAGAAGTTTTTAAACGACTAAAAATAGTTTTTACTAGTATACTACAGTTAGATAAATCTAGTCATGAAAATAAATATGTTCTTAAAATCCTTATTTCCAGAATTTATTATTTATACTTTAAGACATACATATTTTTAAAAGTCATTTTATTAAATATGTATCAAATAGACCCCAGTTTCTGGGTGAATTTCAAAAACACAGACAATGTGCATAGCCTTCAGGTCTCAAATTTCTGAGAGAGAAGCAATCCAACCAGAAATCTTAGCTTTTCTGAGAAGATAAAACTGCTCCCCTTAGTTAGTAAAGCACCTTTGTATTGAAAAGTTTTGAAATTAAATATAGATATAATCCAGTAGATAAAACTCAAGCCACTATGTTGTACGTAAGAATAACTTGCATGTGTTTGTTATTTAAAGTATTTTAAATGTGAAGAGAATCTGACATTAGTCTTAGAAGGTGAAAAGTGTAGAAGAATTTGATTAACCTTATAAACAATATTAGAGTGTGAGAATTTGATTCAGTGTAATTATAAGTTTAATTTATTAAATTTGCAGGAGTTGTTTAAGTACTTCAGAAGATTTTTCTTGTTACGGTTATAAGTTTGCTCAGTTAGGCATGTGAAATTATGAAAAGAAAATCAACTATGTTACATTTAAAAGAGTTGAAATATACAAAGGAATTTAACAATATGTGTAAATGGGAATTATTTAAAAGAAAGTTATTTTCTTCAACTTGAATTAATCAAATGTTAATCAATGAACAAATGGAAATGAATGTATTGATTTTATTTTAAATTGACAGATTTTTAGGAGAATAAAGTTTTAAGTTGAACTTACCAAGGTTTCACGCTTTTTTGGATTTGTAACTTTAATATGCAAAATATTAGCCTAAAACTTCTAACTGTAAAATATCCTGTTTTGCACACTCGTCTCTTCCATATAGGAACACGTTAAAATACTCCCGGTGTCCCAAAGCATCATCCTGCTCCCTAGGGAGCCCCCTAATTAGCCTCCCCACTTCCATTCTTTCCCCTCCCAACTAATCCTTTCACTAACTGCCAAAGTGATCTGTTCAAATGCAGATCTGTCCAGGTCCCTAACCCCGCTTAGAATTTTTCAGTGCTTTCCAACGCCTTCAAGATCAAGTGCAAAGTCCTCCTCATGAGGAGTCCACCACAACCGGACCTCTATACCTTCTCCAGCCTCCTCTCCTGCACTCACCGTAACCGGAATGGGCTGGTACCTCTCCATGACCTGCTTTCTCTAATGGATCACTCACCTCTTAGCCTCTCCTCACCCAGCTGTCTGCTAACCCCTTCAAAGTTGAGCTATACGTTGCCTCCTCTGGGAAGCCTACACCACTTGCTTGATACTACGGCTGTTCAGTGGGTTTATCACACCAAGTTTGATAAGCGGTTGATTTGTCTGATTGCGCCCACCAGAGAGTCCCACAGCAGGGTCTATGTCTGTTAAACTCTTTATTCCTAGCAGTGACTGTCATATAGCAGGGTACTCAACAAAAGTTGTTCAATAAATAAAAGAATGGAGTGGTTTCTAATGCCAAAGACAAGCCTATCTACTCAGATTTACCCAGTGACCCTTCCTTGCTGAAGGCTAAAGCAGTTGAGAATGAACTGTCCTCACCTCATACTTCTGACTGAAGGAGTGAAGCAAGGATGGAAGAGGTGCAAAGGGACCCACCCACAGGGAGCTCATAGGAGTATTTTGTGAGCAACATGCAGACGTGTACGGAGCTTAAATGGGCACTAAGGCTTTCCAGAACCTCTCTATAATTTTGTGATTTGGGAGGAGAAATGCTACCTGTTAGAAACAGTTTGCAAGAAAGCTGTCACTTTTATAAAATCCACACATACCAACAGCAAGGCCAGCTAGCGAAGCTGCACCCAGGCACGACATGTCAACGTGGACGGGCCTGTCTATACTCTCATTAATCAGGTCGGACGTCATCTGCATGACAAAACTGTTCTTACAAACTCCTCCATCTGCCCTGCGAGGAGCAAAAGATTTGAGATAAATTACTGCAACAAAAGCACAAAACCATTAATAAATCTTTCTAAATGGGCCACATATTTTTTTAGAGCCTTGATTTTATTTTTTAATTTTTTAATTCCAAAATTATATCACTTAGCATTGACCTGAAGATAGAGGATATTACTAGGTAACCTTTAAATATTTTTCCTTATTCCTGCCATCAGTTTTCCCATCTGCCTTATTTGTCCTGGGACTAGTTCAAAATAGGCCAAGTGAACTAAGCCAACATAAAAACTCATTTAGACATTCCAGCAAAGAAAATTTGCTGCTTCCCTGCCAAAAGGATAGCCACAGACCCCAACAAGAGATTTTCAAAATCTTTATAATACACATATGGGTGCTATGATCCTCCCAAATTCTGCAGTGTCCTATATTCTCCATAAATCCAAAACTAGTTTTCTTCTTCTCTCCAAATTCCTATGACCAAGAATTTTGCCGCAAAGAAGCTAGGTATAAGTTCTTTTTGAAACCCTGAATAATTATAACGATGAAAATACTAATAGCAGCTACTACTTACTTCTAATTTCTAATTAAATCTATTAGAAATAAAGCTTACATACCGGATTTTTCTTACCGGAATATGGATCTCTTTCTGCATCAACTCATATAACTGTTTGTTTCTAGTTAAAAAAAACAAGGTAACTATTTAGAGGAAATGCATATCATGATAATTCTCTATTTTTTTTCAATCTAGAAAAATAAAAATTGTGGGTTTTATTACATATTTATAAAATATACAAAAGAAACTATTAAAGAAATATATTATGCTAACTTGAAGTCATAAACAGATGCTCAAATACATAAGAGGCTCAGGGCTTGCTCTTCTCATCCTGATACAAAAGAGCATAATTTTTATTTTAGGACTAAGTTTAATCTATTACTATTCCTAAAAATAAAAATTGAAAGCAAGCATCCATTTGCCAGAGAGCTATTAAGATGACATACCATAAATAACATCTAGTAGAAGTCATCAAATATAAAAATAATCATTTCACAATAACAGAAAATTTTATTTTAAACATTACAAATTTTCCATATTTATGACAGCCACATTCTTAATTTTAATAAGCTACATCTGCCCCATAACAAAAAGACCACAGAGAAATATACATAAAGAATAATTTTGGTGACTCGATCTTTGAGTATAATAGAACCATTATTAGTTAGAATTCTCCTTCCTGAATAAAAATATACAAATATTTGAAAGTCCAAATTTTGAATCTGTTATGCTTAAGAAATTGGATATTTTTTAAAATCATTCACTTCTCAGATATCAAATCTAAGCGGTACTGGTATCATTAGATATGGAAAAAAAAAAGAGATGCTAAGGAAATGAGCAATAAAAACAGATTATATTATATACAGTATGAATTAAACTAAAGGTATAAACACTGAAATTTCTTAGTTTAGTAGAAATGAATAAAAGGAAATGGCACTGCTGTATGTGGAAGTCGTTTAGGGCAGGTTTGGGTACCTGAAAGCTATTGACTCCAGTATTGCTCGTACAAGATGGTATTTACTGGTGGAAGGCTTCAAACCCATAAAAGAGGCACATGCACACGGGTCATTTAATGGAGCCTAAAGTGACAGATAGTAAGAATATATTATTGCTGTTCTAAATTGTATCTACAGAGTTGAAGACATATTATATAATAAAAACATAGCCATGTTAGGAAAAGAGTGCTTATTTAGAGTTCAGTAGTTTTAAAATAAATGATAGCCCAAAACATGTTAACTATTAGATGAAGTTTGTATTCAGACACTGGACTTAGCTGGACCTCCTCTTTGGGCTCATCCCAAGAAAAGGGCACAGGGTAACAAATTATTAAATGCCTAGCTTTATAAATGAGGAAAATGCAAAGCAATCCTAGTATTTCCTCTTTTCTCCAAATGTAAAGTTTTTATGCTAAAATTGTTTACTATGTAGAGTGGCTTTTTGTGGATATAAGTTAGAATTAAAACAAAAAACTATAATGCAAAAAAAATGTGTTTCTCAGTGTCAAAACTTACACCCAACATGTTGTCAGACATTCAAACTAAACTCTTCTATTTCCTAGCTATTTAATAGTCTTATTGCCTAAAATAAAAAATGACCCAGCCTAAAATCTGTCTTTAAAAGAGCCAAAATCTTGAGCTAGAATTATATATTCAGCAGATGAAGTTTGTATTCATCTTTGTGTCCCCAGAAATGCAGGACAATTCTGTGACAAGAAGATGAAAAATAAAGATCCCTGCCAGAGCTTGCATCTCACAAGGAAAGAGACAGGAGAACAGTTCCTTCTATTGTAAATAAATTTCCCTAACCCTTAACCAATTCTGAGAAGTTCCCTCCACTTATGTTGTGCTTGCTGTAACATACTTGGCTCTGTGCTGGGCAAATGGCTTTTCAGTGGAGGGGTCTCTCAGGCTTCCTTGCCACAGGGACCAGAGGACCCTGTACCAACTTCCCATGACCACTCTGGGCCACTATGCACCTACCGTTAGAGACACTTCCCTTCCCCCACACTTGCTTAGGTCCGCATCAACATTGTTCCACATCTCCCTTCACCTTTACCACCACTCAGACGTCCCAGGCACTCACAGAATGAGAGACAGTGTTCACAGTACTTGCTGGCCACATGCCCTTCTAAGAAAACTGCTTGAACCCACAGGCCCTGTTGTCTACAGCAGCCATGTCTCATGCCCTAGTCCCACCGCACCATCACAACTGTAGGGGTGAACATAACCAACTCAAAGTCTCCAGAGCTCGAAAAGACAAGGTGGTCCAATCAGATCCCCTCCCCTGGAAACATGAACTGGGAAACACCAAAAAAAAGATCATCAACGGTGGGATCTGAAGTTAAAGGATACACAAGGTGGAAGAAGGTTGTGTGTATTTCCAAATTGTGAAGAAGCAGAAACTACAAGGAAAATAATGATGATTAAGTAGAAGTCACAAGGAAGAAAGGACACAGAGCAAAGCTGGTAACAAGAAGGGAAGAGCAGACTCACAGAGAAGCAGGACCGCAAAGAAGAACAGTAAGAACTGTGCATCAGTTGCAGACTCCTTCCCAACGCCAGGCCTCAGGAGGATGTGCACCCCCAGCTCCCTCAGGGGCAGCCTAAGCAAGCCCGTTCCTTGCAAACCTAAGAACCCTCATTGGAGCATGACTCCTCATCCTCTAAGGACTGGCACTTGGCTCACAGTCCTGTCCATCCTACTGCCGCCATCACCTCAGTAACTTTAACATGAAGTAGACAACCACTGAGAGAGTCTTGCCTCCACTATCTGTCACAGATACTCTACGTTAGCATTCTCCTCCCCAAACCACAGCTCTGTAGAGCAAAGCCACAATGGCTGTACCAATTGATGCCACCCCAATGTATCCCCCCATGCTCCACCCCACCTCCTCTGCCATTCCCTGAAGTGGCTGCCGCAGACTTTCCCACTCAAAATTCCTCGAATGTCCCTTGAGAAATTGAGCCTTTAATATCTTGCCCCCCATTATCTACGCTGCAACAATATTCTAAAATTAAAGGCAGTATCACAAACACTTGACACCCCTTCCTTTCCTCCCTCCCTGCCACTCCTCTCTCCCGCGTTTTCTCTGGTTGTTGACACAGGCAACTTCTAGGTGATCTCCGTCCTCTTCTCCAAACAGCTTCCTATCAACACACTATCGTTGTATGAATTTACTTTCAGTTTCCAGTCAAGAGTTTCATTTCACACTGGGAAATATTTGGTCTCCAGTCCTCCCTGCTCATGACATCAACATACGGCCAGGTTGCAATCGTGGCAGGACAGGGACATTTTGTTATCAATGGGAAATTACAAACTACATCTGTGGTAGCTTTTCCTAATCTTCAGAGCTTTAGCAATGCTTTGTTTTACCATATATTTTACAAGCATATGAATTGATGGAGAAGTTAAAGACAGAGTTGCCAAGATACAGTCACTACTAAGTCCCCTAGCACATTTTTCATACATAGCAGCCTAATTAAATCCTACTTTTGCTGATGACAATTACTCATCTAATATCTTCCTGGAACCTCCATCAGACAAATATGCCTCAGCCCTTGTCCCATCATGAATGCTATTTAACTGCCTCACATCACCCCAAGAGGATACAATGCAATCTACATCATTTATAAACTTGTAGGCCTTTAGGATAAGAATATAAGAGGAAATTATTACAGATATTAAAATAATGCTAATTTAATAATCTAGTTTGGAGATATTACATTTTTAGAGACTTAAAACACTTAATCTAATTCTTTTTTCACCAGTTTCTACATTATACAAATTTTCAAATTTTGGACTTTTCATAACTGATTGCCTGAGTATGGGATGGACTAGAAGCAAGGAAAATCATTTTATTTTTTTGTAGGGGAAGATTTGCCCTAAGCTAATACCTGTTGCCAATCTTTCTCCTTTTTTCTTCCTTTCTCCCACAAAGCCCCAGTACATAGTTGTGTACAGTTGTAAGTTCTTCTGGCTCTTCTGTGTGAGCCGCGGCCACAGCACGGCTACTGACAGACGAGTGGTGTGGTTCCATGCCCAGTGTGGAACCACAGCCCATCAGGGCTGGCTCAAAATTTTTTATTTTTTGAAAAGAAAAAATATTTAGAGGAGGAGTAAAAGGACTAGTATAAGCTTTCCCCCCAAAAAACGATTTTGTTAGTAATAATATACCTGAAAACAGTTTTAAAAAGTCTTTGTAACAATATGCTAAAATTAGAGGCAGCATCCACAGATCTTTCAGTTAAACACAAAATAAAATATTACAAGATCAAGTCTTTTACTGGGTTCACTTTTTTATTAGGCAAAGTAACCAACACTCCACCACAAGAGTTAACCAAAAGAAATTTTGATTTTTTAGAAGTTAATGAAACTTACAGATAAATAACTGCAAAGCATACATACACATATATTTGTATGTGTGTGCCTAAACACTACTTTCCTAATTCTCAATGGTATGCTTCCTCTAAGTAAAGAATGCCAATGTACTGATGTTTTTCCCCCACTGGGAAATGGCTATTTTTGTTGATGATAAAGTAATCCTAGGTCTTCTGTAAAAGTCCTATGATAAGCCTGCCAACTTTTAGTTTCCACAGGGACGGAGTTCTGAGCAGAAGCCGCTAAATTTGCTCTGCTCCCCATGGAATGCACACAAGGTCAAAGCACCGGCCTCAGGCCCAGAAGGTCCCCTCACCTTAGTTCTCCTCTAGGCCGGAACCTTCAGGTGAGTGAGTGGCAGATACATAATTTTGAGTGCAGGTATGAGGAGAGAAATGTTTGTAATTGCCATTAACTTAAAAAAAATACCTGCAATCCACTAAAAGATGGAACAAAATAAACTCCTTCAGAATCTTCCAAACTTTTGGCCATTTTTTCAGTCTCATCAGCATCTGTGAAAAGATCTGCAAAAACAAACACAAACAAACAAACAACAAAAAACCCCTAAAACAAAACGAAGGGGTTGGGGAGGGACAAACAGAATTGTGTTATATGACCAGTATTTACCTGCATCCACATTTATTATGAATATAACATGAAAGGTCGCTCAGTTAAAAGGGTCAACACAAAGGCCAGTCTGCTCTGGTACCATCTGGGTTCTCACGCTGCACAGGTTTACGAGCCCACGGAAGGGGCAAGAAAGCCCTCAAGACAGGCTCTGCATGCAGCAGGTGTTACTTTTTCCTTTGAAGATATTCGGGCTGTTTGAAAATCAATTATGTGTGTTTTTTGGCATTAAAAAAATCATTCTCCTGAATATAACACCTATCCTAGTTTTCTGATGAAAAGATCATCTACCTATAATAACCAAGAGTATCAACTGAGAAACTGCTCCATCTAATGAGTTCAGTAAGGGGCCAGTAACAAATAGATATACTAAAGCCAACCCATGAAAAACAAAATGGTCAAGACCTAATTCATCTAACATACTTTTTTACTGAAGTATATAACATACATTACACAAAACTGCATAAACCCTAAGTGCACAGTGGATGTTCACAGTGTGACTACTCCCAGGCAGCCAACATCCAGATCAGGATGCAATCTTCTGTTCGACATCACGCTTGTGAGGTTCATTCATGTTGTTACAAGTAGTTGCACTTCATTCATTCTCACCCCTGGATGGTATTCCACTGTGTGAATATACAGAATTTTCTATTAAACTATTCTACAGCTGCTATGCATTTGGGTAGTTTCCAGATTTTGGTTAATAGGCCACTTGGAACACTCTTGTACATTTTTTTTTAGTGAACATATGTATACATTTCTGTTTGTTATATATCAGGAGATGGAATTGCTAGTCCCAGGGTCTTCACATTTAGGACTAACTTTAGAAGATACTGTCAAATCATTTTCCAACATGGGTGTACCAATTTAAGGCTCCTGCCAGTAGTACAAGATTCCAGTTACCCCATATTCTTGCCAATAATTGATAATCTGTTTTTCATTTTAGCTACTTTGGAGGTATTGCATGATGGTTTGATTTTGTATTTCTCTGCTGACTAATGAAGTTGAAATTCTTTTCACTGGCCATTTGGATACCCTTGTTTGTGAACTGACCCAGCATAGACCAGACGAGGAAGCCCCGGAATCAGTCACAATAAACACTGCTAGCTTTATACAGCCTTAGTTAGGTTGCTTTTATTTTATTATATGTTTTGTTATTCTTATACTGAAAAATTGGTTAAAGACAAGTTTAAGGGGCACCTATATTAAAACTCAAGTTAATGATCACTCAATAATAAGCACAAACTCTACTCGAAATGACAGTTGTCAGATCCATAAGTCACATTCATTTGGTCAAAATGTCCAGGTAACACATCAAAATATCTCTCTTCAAAAACTAATAATAAAAAGAAAACATTGGTTTTGAAATCTATACCTAAAAAAAAACGCATGTCCAAATGTCTAAAATTTAAAATCAAGATTTGGAAAACACACCAGATGGCTGGTTTGAGGAAAGTTTTTGGAAACAAACAAAGAAATGGGAAAAAAAAAAGAAAGAAACCTAGTTTATTCACGTTCTTCGCTGGTTGTTCCATCCCTGCTCGAAGAATTCTCTACATAATCTTCCACTTAAAACTCTTCTCAAATGACCTTATTGATGAAAAATCCTTTGGAGTAAGCAGACTTCACTCTGTCTCTCCCACTGAAGAGGCAAGGATGGAATGCACGGAAAGCTCTCTGAGGACTCAGAAGAATAAGCTAGCAGGCCAACTGGGGAACTCCACGTACCGCCAAACCGGCAGTGAGTTTCCTGTTTTTCATTTTCTCTGAGATCTCCTGGCCTAGGCTCAGGGACAGCCTGAGATGTGAAACCTCGGTATGTACACTGGGTGCAAAAATGAAGAGCTGCTAAAGAGGCCGTCTCTTTCCAGCCCGAGTAGCAGGAGTCAGGAGCCTCCACAGGACAGAGGCAGGGAAATTATTCTGTCTTTTGCTTTTTGGATTTTTTCATTCTACCTGAACAAGAGAGAGAAAAAAACACTGAGGAAAAAAAGAGAGAGAGAAAGGGAATAAACAGAGCCCCTGGGGTCTGTGGGACAGTAAGCAAAGGCCTAATATTTCTGTGATTTGAATCCCAGAAGAAGAGAACAATGCAATGCAGGAAATGCAGTGCAGGAAAACCAGCTGAAGAAAAAAAATGACTGTAAATTTTCCACAGTGGATAAAAGATAAATCTATAGGGGCCGGTCCTGTGGCCGAATGGTTGAGGTTCCACACGCTCCACTTCGGCAGCCCAGATTCGAGAGTTTGGATCCTGGGTGTGGACCTACTCAACACATCAGCCATGCTGTGGAGGCATCCCACACGCAAAATAGAGAAAGACTGGCACATATGTTAGCTCAGGGCAAATCTTCCTCACCAAAATAAAGTTAAAATCTATAGATTCAAGAAGCTCAGCAAATCCCAAACTGGATAAACACAAAAGAAATTCTTGCCCAGACACATCAGAATAAAACTGAAAGCTAAAAACTGAAGGCAAAGAAAAAGTCTTGAAAGCAGCCAGATTACATAATGGGGAACAGACATTCAAACAACTGTGGGCTTCTCATCAGAACTATGAAGGTCTAAAGGCAGTGGAATAACATCTTTTAAGTACTAAAAGGAAAGAACTGTCAACTCAGAATTCTACATCCAGCAAAAATATCCTTCAGGAATAAAGACAATCTCTGATGAAGAACAACTAAGAGAATTTGTTGCCAACAAACATACTATAAAAGAAATGCTGAAGAATATTTACATGCAAAAAAAAAAAAAAAAGAACCTTGACCTAAACTTCACACTTTATATATAAAAACTAATTCAAAATGGGTTATATATCTAAATGTAAAGCATACGCTATAAAACTTTTAAAAGAAAACATGTGAGAAAAATCTTTGACTCTGTTTTGGCAAACAGTTCTTACATATGACACAAAAAGCACAATCCATAAAATAAAAGTTGATAAAGTTCACTAATTTAAAAACCTTTTCTCTGCAAAACACACTATTAAAAAAATGAGGGCTGGCCTGGTGGCGCAGTGGTTAAGTGCGCACATTCTGCCTCTTGGCGGCCCGGGGTTCGCTGGTTCGGACCCTGGGTGCGGACATGGCACCGCTTGGCAAAAGCCATGCTGTCGTAGGTGTCCAACGTATAAAGTGGAGGAAGATGGGCACGGATGTTAGCTCAGGGCCAGGCTTCCTCAGCAAAAAGAGGAGGATTGATAGTAGTTAGCTCAGGGCTAATCTTCCTCAAAAAAAAAGAAAAGAAAATGAAAAGATAAGCTATAATCTAGAAGAAAATATCTGCAAATCACATATTCCAAAATGGACCTTTGTTCAGGATCAAAAAAGAACTCTCAAAACTCAACAGTAAGAAAACAATACAATAAAAAATACATGAAGAATTTGATCAGGTACTTCACCAAAGAAGATATATAGACGACAAATAAGCTCATGAAAAGATGTTTGACATCATTAGCCATTAGGGAAGTGCAAATTAAAAACAAAATGAGATAACATTACTCACCTATTAGAATGGCTAAAATTTTTAAAAAAATGACAATACCAAGCAGCGGAGCAACGTGAACACACACGTTGCTGGTGAGTCAAACAGGCCACTCTGGAAAACAGCTTGGCAGGTTTTTGTTTTACAAAGATAAACACATACTTATTTGAGTGTGTGTGTTTATTTGAGCTAACAATGCCACTCTTAGCTATTTACCTTAAAAAAATTAAATCTGATGATCACACAAAAACCTGTACACGACTGTTCACAGTGGCTTTATTCATAATCACCAAAACCTAGAAGGAACAGCCTAGACATCCTTCAGTGGGAGAATGGATGAACCAACTGTGATACATCCATGAAACACAATGTGGAATGAACTATTGATACATACAACAACATGGATGAATCTCAAAGGCATCATGCTGAGTAAAAGAAACCACCTCAACTGGTTATGATTCCATTTACTATATGGAAATGGATTCCATTTACATGATATTAGATTCCAATATCCATTTATATGATTCCATTTATGTGAGATCTATTTATATGATATTGTGGAAAAGGTCAAAAGCTTGACAATACATCAGAATTCTACTTCATCACCCAGCCTCTGCAGTTGATCCAACCAGATCATTTCCTTATGCAAAAGATGCTGTGAGGAAAGAGGCTATGGGGAAACAGTCTCATATATTTCTGGGGGAAAGCAAAATGGCACAATTCCTATGGAGGGGGAATTTGGCAATATCTAACAAAATTACAATGCATTTACCCTTTGACCCAGCACTCTCACTTCTAGAAATTTATTCTTAAGACACCTCCAACAATCGGAAAATACATAATGCACACTTATTCATTGTGCATTATTTGCATTTGCAAAATACTGGAAAGTACTTAAATGCCCAAATATAGGATATTGGCTGGCTAAACTATGTACATACACATAATGGAGTACAATGCAGTTGCAAAAAAGAATGAAGATACCTACAAACTGATGTGAAGAAATTCCCAGATAGATAGATATATATATATATATATATATATATTTTTTTTTTTTTTTTTTGGAGGAAGATTAGCCCTGAGCTAACATCTGCTCCCAATCCTCCTCTTTTTGCTGAGGAAGACTGCTCCTGAGCTCACATCCGTGCCCATCTTCCTCTACTTTATATGTGGGATGGTGGCCACAGCATGGCTTGCCAGCCAAGCGGTGCCATGTCCGCACCCAGGATCCGAACCGGTGAACCCTGCGCTGCTGAAGCGGAACGTGCGAACTTAACCGCTGCATCACTGGGCTGGCCCCTATTTTTCAATTTTATGATTTGTATATCCTTATACTTTTTGGATTGGAAATTTATTATGCTTCTCTCTTTTTCTCTTATTAGTAAGGATTCATCATTTTCCTCTAAGTACTGTT